GGAGTTCCACAGGTTGACTATGCATTGCATGAATAAATACTTCCTTTTGTTTGTTTTAAACCTGCTACCTGTTCATTTCATTTGATGACCCCTAGTTCTTATGTTATGGGGACAAGTAAATAACTTTTATTTCTTCGCATTCTTCACACCAGTCATGATTTTATAGACTTCTGTCAGATCCCCTCCCCCACCTTAGTCTCCTCTTTTCTTGTTTGTTTCTTTTCTTGATTGTTACGTGGGGATGTCAATTTTTCAAGCCATCACAGCTGGAATGTGCTAATAAATACCAGGAAAGAACAAAATTGGTTGCTTCCGTGTGGCACGGAAAATGAAAAGACCCCAAACCAACACCTGCTCGTTCTGTGGAACAGCCTGAGCATCCCTCCCTGCGTAGTGATGTGCAAACCTCTACATTTTTCTTCAGATTTACACGATAGAAACTAATTTACAAAGCCTCGTTCCCTTTAGTGGGGAGACACACACAACGCCCGGCCGTGTAACGAGTTTTCCTCAAGTGCTACTCAGCAATTGCAGGATCCTTTCCAAACACAGTGCTGGGAAATTTGTCTTGCAGGCACATTTTGGCATGTTGGAAAAAAAATCCACCAAGACGTTTTAAGGGGCCTAAAAACCAGGAGCACTTGATCCTGTGACCACATGGTCCAATCCAAGCGGCTGAGTGCCGAAAGGGATTGAGCCGTTGCCACGATGGAGAGCCAGGAGAGCAGCACAAAGAGAGAGAGAGCCATCTCGCTGGAGTCAGGTTTCAAGCCATTTCTCTGTGGAAGCTCAGTCCCGTAACCTCACCAATCACTGCGCTTTGAATAAGTACAGGACAGTCTGACTGACTACAACCAGATTGACTGGCCGCTCCCCCCACAATCCCATAAACTAGTCTGCCAGAGAAGAGCACTTAGAACAGGGCAACTCAACTTTGGAAGCCCCCGGGGGTCACAATGATACTCACAGCACACGCCAAGGGCCGCAACTTAATTGTGGTTGCATGTGCATGCAAATATATAAGCAAATATATGCAAATCGCTTCTTTCACACTGACGGGCATCAATACAAAGATTAAGGCAAGACTACACAACACACAGGCCCCATTTAAGTCAGTTTTGCTGATATTAATAAAATGCAATATTTACCTGATTTCCACTCATATGACAGCCCTTTTAATGCGCAATAACAGTCCAGGAACTTAACGACTAAAACACATCTCAACACAAGACCGTTATATTGACTTACCATTATGGAACATGTTCCCAATGGAAACCATGTTCAAAGGATCCCACCCGCGGACTGTGTGTTGAGTCCTGCGTAAACTCAAACTGCACCGCGAGCGGCAAACACACAGGTTGTGAGCTGCATGCGGCCCATGGGCCGCGTGTTGAATAGCCCTGACTTAGGATAAAGTTGTTACCTCGAGCCATGCCATGGAGGAACCATCCGTTCCATTGCTGCCTTTCTAATCTTTCAATAGTGCTAACCGGCCCTGTCAAAAATCAAGGCACAAACACAAGAAAGAAATAGGTCCAGACTATTGGTGGCAGGGGCTCGCTCTTTGTACTATTCAAAACCATTCAGTTCGGATACCATGAGATGGCAGAGAGCTATATCGATTAATGCTCCCGACTGTTTGACCCAATAATCAGCTTCCTCTCCCTCCCCCCCTTTTTTTTTTCAAACTTCAATTTGCATCATTTCATTTTAGCAGATTCAATTTGCGATTATCTCAGAGCCAGATACTCCTGGAGCTGCTGAATGAAATCCATGCCAAGTTGAGGCATTGCCATGGGCATCCCCAAGAAAGCCTTCAAGCCTGGGGAAATAAGTCAGATCTGCAGAAAATACACCCCCAAAGTCACGGGCTTTGTGAAAGGCACCCAACACATACATAAGAGAAACGTGGTCGCTGCAGAGAAAGCAACCCTGAGTAATTGCTTACGGCCCAAATAGGGCTCCAGCATCTCTTTATTGCTCTGAGCAAGGTGAGTGTCTCTTGGTAATTAGTTAAAACACAGCCAAGTCCGGATGTCTAAGACAGGTAGAACTCGGCAAGAAAACTCTCCACTAGCTTTCGCACTAACTTCAAGAAGAGCAGGATGGAAAGCCAGGTGTGTTTTGCTAAGCGTGGGCACAAACCAGACTAATAATCTTCCTTTTGATTCCTCCTGCGACGACATGGGTACCACACTGAGGTGACTGTCAACATTTCCATTGGCATCAGCACTACCAGGTTTGAAATGTTTTACGCAGACATTTTTACACTGCAGTCCTTTGTCAGGGCCTCTTGTCTCCCCACTTTCTTCAGTGGTTTGTTGGGCTGTTTACCTGGACCTATGATAGATGGGCACACAGACAGATGGACACAGCATGCTATTGTGGCCAGGCTGGTCCCAGGATATTAGGGAGACAAGGTGGGCGAGACCATGTCCTTCATTGAGCCAGCTTCTGGTGGTGAGCGAGAAACAAGCTTTCCAGCTTCTGCAAGAGCTCGGTGGGGCTCCGAAGCTGGTCTTTCTCCCCAAGAGAAGTTGGTCCAATGAAAGAAATGAGCTCACCCCTCTTGTGAGACAGAGAGAGAAAGAGAGATTGGAATTCACCCACCTAACATTCGCTACCTGTTTAGAATCGCCCAAGAAGTTGTGCACAAAGTGTAAATACGCTCTGTGGCTATTTCACCATCACTTATTATAACATTAATTGCTTAACCCTACCAGACCGTGGGTGAGGCCCACCATTTAGGTTCTGTTTAAAGGAACATATAAGAGCCAATATCCACAGAAATATTAAGGATTTAAAAGCCCCACCGATGTCAAATGTAGGGGTGAAACATTCCCTTGGTCTCTCCTGCCCTATCACCTTGCCCCAACGTTCATTGTCGAGGTATCCGAAATAGCTCTCCTGTGTCTACACAAGCTACCCGTTATTTTGAAAAGTGTTTCGAAATAACAGGCGTGCTATTTCGCCTCCCCGGTAAACATCGTTGCATGGGGAACAAGGGGTGGCTCAAAATTGCACTTTGATTTCAAAATTTGGTGCCGCGCCAATGTGCCAAATTTCAAATTGAAATCGAAATGAGATAGGCAATGTGTGCCACACAAATTGCGTATTTTATTTCAAGGTTAGCTGTGGACACACCCTGAGTCTGCTCTGGGCATGGACAAGGGCCCTTGTTGGAGCCAGCTCAAGGCAAAACATCAACAACTTTTAACAGTGGCAGATTTTTTTTATAACCCTCACCCTTTGCATGATCTAGGGGCCCCCAGTGCTGCAGACACGCAGAGGGGGGGGGGCGGTCATGATCCCAGGACAACCCACCCTGGGGATCAGCAGGTGGACGGGAGGGGGAGGGGCTAAAAGTAAGCCCTTTGAAACAGTGATAGTGACTTTTTACACCACTGCAACCTCCTCCCCGTCCCCCCAGCTCTCTCATGCCCTGCCCCCTGCCTGCTTCACGCCTGCCCCGACCCAGGGGCTGGGGAGGATCCCGGGCTCTGGGGGCAAATCCCCCTGGGCCGATCAGTGGAGCGGGGATGTAATTGGCCTGTCAGGCAGCTGCAAGGCGCTACCCCCC